CTCAAAGGAACTATCACATCCATAGTTCACCATTTTCTGTTTGGAACTAATTTCACAGTCTCTATTAGATCACACTCATTTCTTCAGTTTTTATTTTTTTAAACAAGCAGAAAACACTTTTTTAGTAGAACATCCACTGACCTTCATCCCCAGCCTGATTACCACTCATACATTCATAAGTGGACTAAGTACTTTTACTGCCTAACTGTAATGTGTTACTGCACCTTAGACTTCTGATTCTTGTGCGATTTGGTCCATGCACTGACCATCTGTTCTTTGTCTTTTAAAACAAACTATTTCTCTTTTATTTCATTTACATTTTGGGTAGAATTCTAGCAGAAATGAATTTGAATGAATGTGTTAATTTACATGTTGCACCTGTAACCAGCAGCCATCAATCCACAGCCGCTGCTATGACACGTATCACACTTTATGACTGACTGCAACCAACATTTAAATTTCAAACTGCCAAATAATAACAGTAGGAAACCAGCCATAAACGTGAACACACAGTCGGGCCTGTCTTACCTTAGACCAGGTGGTTTTTACTCCTCCTCCTCTGTGCCTTGAATCCAAGGCGAGTTTTTTTTTCCCACACGTTTCTTTGGTCCTCAGACTCAGCTCAGCTTTAAAACGTTCTTTTAAAACTCAGTGAGTCAAAATAAACAACATGTACTGACCTAAAGCCAGCTTGCCACTTATCCATGTGTACAGGTCACACTTGCAGTCGGTTTTAAACTTGGCGCTCCTCACGGCTGCGCTCTTTCTGTTCCAGTAATGTTCATCTCAAATGCAGCCACAATGAAAAGTTACTGGCCTCTAAAAAGTCCTGTCACTTGTGTTTACAGTGGTCACTTCTTGTGTAGCTTTCTCATAATGCCAACAAATCATTTCCTGTTGCTGCTCCTTCACATTAAAAGTATTATCACATTATCAAAACCCTGACTGCCTCTAGGAAATGTAATCTCTTTGTCACTGACATTAGCGTGGCTATTGTTTGGAGAAAGAAAATACTTCACAAGTGTGACTCATGAAATGGGCAGCTTATTTCTTTGACTGGCAAAATATTAGCATTATTATATATCAAATAAACAAAGCCTTACCCACTCACATGTGATCTAATTTCACATTAGAGTTCCCTAGTAGCAAACTGAATTGTTCAGTCAGTGAATGGTGCCCATGCACAACTCTGCATATTATGAGGGTCAAACTACCAAATTTTTTTTCTGTACATTCCATTTTCAGCTCAAGTCAACATGTGTTATGTTATTGTAGGATGACAGCTGTGTGATGCAGTGGTGGCTGCATACTGTACGTGCCTAAATTACCTGTAAAGCTGCGCTTCTCCACAAAGGCACAGAGAGAACATGCAAACTCTGTACAGAAAGGCCCCGGGTCAGCCAGGGCTCAAACCCAGAACCTTCTTGCTGTGAGGCAGCAGCGCTAACCACCGCGTCACCGTGCTGCCCCGGAAAAACACACTGGGAGTTAAAGATGTTGCTCCTGAGCACTATCTTCTGTCCTGTCTGCTCTAAGAAAAAGTTGTTCCCATGGTAACTCCACCAGGGCTGTTAGGCTAATTGACTGTCAAATTGTGTGATGTTGCATGATGACAAAAAATCCTGCAAACAAATGTATAATGTCATATTGCTGGGATAGATAATCACATTGCACAGCTGCCTCTAGAGATGGCTGTAAGAGCTATCTAATCAAAATGTTAATGATGTGAGCTATAATGAAACTGCAGAGCCTGTGGACACACATCCAGGAGGTGGAGGGTAAAGTTAAAATAAGCTCAAGGTTTTGATTGAGAATGCGTATACAGTATAGGAAAGATCTTTTTTTTTAAGCAATATAATCCCATTTAGCATGGCAGCGACATAATTTACCCACACATGGAGACCAGTGACGCACATCTCACGTGGATACATCTATGTGGAATGGTTTGAGAGAGAGAGACAGTAGCACTGAGTATGCATGTGAGTGCCTCTTGTTGCTTGAAGACACCTTTTTCATGTTCTTACAGTAAATAATCCACTGTGGTGAATGAAACCTTGAATCAGTTCAAAATGGTTGAGCCTCTATTAAACATAGTCTGGATTAAATTTGAGATAGACGCAGGGCAACTATGATAATCTCTAGAAAGTAAAGATATTTACAAGATATAAAATGTAGTATAACTAAGAGAAAAGCGTGATTTTATTAGAAATAAATTAGTTTCAAGAATAAAAACAAAGCTCATGGACTATCATATACTTTAATTAAACAGACTATAGTAAATCCATGACTTTTAAGACAAATCATGACAGGAAGGCCTTAAAGTGCTCAGAAATGTGAGTTGTGCACTTTAGCAGCCACACTCTACGTATGTGCTGGAGTTTTGTTTTGTTCTAGATGAGAGCTACTGAGGTGATTGCTAAAAAGGAAACCCTGGCTGCCTTTCTAAAATGTGAGTTAACACTAGAGAAATAATATAAATCTACTCAGGTAGCAATGCAGCTTCAAAGCACACACCCAGAGAAAAGCTGGGGATCAGAGGAAAGAGAGGCAGGGATTAATCTCTCCAAAACACACCTGCATGCAGGAATATATCACAGCATTGGAGACAAATGCTGCGTGCCTTTTTCCTTCTGATTTTGCTTAGCTTTATAGGTTACATTATGCCTCTCTATAACCACTCGTCTTCATACTGTCCTTGGAAACATCTCCTGACCCTGTCCCTGTTAACAAGGGCCTCGTCAATTACTCTCCATCAAGACACTTGCTGAAATAGCCACAGAGCACATCCTCTCTCCACCCCCCATCCTCCTCCATCATCCATCCACCTTTATTATTTAGAACCGTGGGGATCTGTGTTGCCATGGATTCTGTCGTCATGGTTACAAACAACTACGTAGATGTACAGTACCGAAAGTGGAGGACGAAGGAGAAGGGAGGGCCAGGGTGATACAGGGCAAGAGGAAGCTTAACCTCTGTACGGTGGAGAGCCAGCTGTGATACAGGCTCTGGGGTGAGAGAGTGAAAAGGGCAAGGTTCTCTGTCATTTGTTTAATGACATGGCGGTCAGGGCAAAAGCCTCAGAGGGATATGAGAGAGACTGCAGCAAAAATGTGGCATTCCAGATGGTTATTTCCTTTCTGGTGCCCCTGTTGTCTCATCTTGTACTGTGCATCGATAAAACATTAGGATTCCTTTTCTGTCTGCGCAGCCTTGAAGGACGTGGAGTCATTTACATGGAGCAGATAAGGGCGTCGTTTTATCAGTGTTGACAGACAGCTGTTAACATGCAGAAATTATGTTTGCAGGGTGTCCTTGATTGGCAAGGCAGTGCACTGACACTCCAATGGTCTCATGGAATACTGTACTTTGTTCTCGATAATATACACCCAGTTGGAAGTTTATAAAAAAAAACACTAATGCAGTCAAATGCTGTGTTAAAGTCCTGCAGTAAATCCTCCCTGCATGAAGGTGATAATGTTCATTCTTTGCTCAAAAGGATTTACAGAGGTGTTGATTCAGCTGTTGGATCATTCTGGATGCTGTTTGTGCTGTCGTTGAACTGTACTGCATTATTCAGAGATATATGTTATTTATGTTGTATAATTCACAGCAAGACAAACTATAAAAATGAGCATAATCAACATCTCATCTAAGCACTCATAGGTGTCAAATATGGTCAAAAAACTGTTTGGGATGTCACTTCCTGTCACACTCTGAGAAACCATTTAACTGGAGGTGATTTGCATATAAATTGCAGCCATATAGCCTGTATGGATGTTTCCTCTGATCAGGAGGAAGAACCTTTGATAGGTGGTGTTCCATGGCACCACCCTAATGATAGACCTGCAAGATCAATAGCAAATCTCTACTTAAATCTCTTAAAGCTCTAAAAAATGAACATTTACTAGAGGAGAAGGTAGTCATTCAAACCAGCACATTCATTTGAAAAATGCACGCCAAATTACCAGGATATTACATTTAACAGTAAAGTTATGGTTGAGCACCAAATCAAATCATGTTTATCTGAATATTTAAGTTGTGAAGAATCATCCTCCTCTTTAAAATGCCAAGGTCTACTGCCCATTTAAAGCAGAGGCTTTTCATAATGTAGCCTGCAGTTGCCACCTTGTGGTGTTAATACACAATGACCCTGACAGCTTAGTGTGTGTTTCTGCAGCCATTAAGCCAATTATTTATTTTCTTTCTTTATCTCCCCCCTCACTGTTTATTTTATCTTTACAACAATTAACCATTGCTGAACTTCTGCTTGTGCTCTCATACAATATATTTGGATTTTCTGTGATTTGTCACAATGTCCTTTTTTTATGGCAGCATTTCATTGGTTTGGTGCTGACCAGCTCTCAAAGACTAGGTGCAGTAGATTGCACTCAGTGAACCACAGTACATGTACTTGGCTGTGAAAGCAGTCATGGAAAATCAATGATGCAGCTGAAATAATAGGCACATGCATTTATTATGTAGTACAATTCAGTCATTTTCAAAAAAACTGTTTTAAAAATGTATAACACCAAAATGTTCTATTTTTGGCTCCATTGCACCAATAAAGCATAGAGATTATGGGGTTCACTGTGAGTGTTTCACACTTTGTGCCTGTGGCTGCCATCTATTTCTGTGGTTGCAGTTATGTGTGACTGTTTGTAGGAAAGATCCAGACTATATTACACCCTGGTCCCTCCCTCAGAAGCTGTGCTAAAGTAACAGCTGATGTCAGTCCTGCTTAAAGTCACACACACAGAGTTCCTGTTGCCTAAGCCCACACTACAACCTGTTTACCATTAGGCAGCAGTGTTAAGGGCAGAGCAGAGCGCCAACCAAAGGGGAGGACGACTCCTACACTTTTTGTTCCCCATCAGCACTTGGCACAGGGAAGCTCCATATCATGCTCACAAATCCACAATCCAAGCCTCGAGTCACAGCAGACAGAGGAGGGGAGGGCAGTTATCTAAGGCTCTCAGCACACCCGAGGGCTTGGCTGGATCATGGAGCTGCACTGTCTTCCTATTGAGACCCCCACCACAGCCAGCTCCTGCTCCACGGACCCTGTGTACGAAAACTGCTCACCTTTTGCGCAGCGAGGGAGGGCCAGGGAAAAGGAAATGGAGAGTGGGGTTGTGTGCATGGCTGTAACCAGACTCCCGAGGCCCTGCAGCCCCCTGCCTGGCCTGGCCCCAGCTGTTGCTGAGGGTGGGGAAAGAGGACCTGGCGCCTGGCCAGATCACAACTACTGCAGCTGGAGAGTAGGCTTTGGAAGACAGTACTGGGAAGCAGAGCTGATTCCTGGCATAAAGAATGCAGGAGGAGGAGAGAGAGGAGGAGTACAGGAAGGCAGCTGGAGACAAGAGGACAGAGCTCATCTGAACCACAGTCCCAGTTTAACACAGAGTGATGAGCACACGAGTGCTCTGTCCCTGTATGATAACCTCCCAAACGCAGTCACCCCCGACAACCTCCAGGACTTCTTCGACTTGGAAACAAGCTTCCAGGAGCACTTGCAGGAACAGATGTACCAAGCATGGGCCCCTGACCAGACCCAGGGAGTGATGGAGGGTGAGGGGGCAAGTGATGGGAAGAGCCCCTGGCCCTCCTGTGAGATCATCTTTGCTGAAAGTGGTTCCAGTAAACAGGTCCAGAGTCCAGATCAAGATAAGAAGCATGAACAAGAGCCAGAGATGGACTCAGGAGCCAGCCCGATGCTTCATCTCCAGTTCCTGTCATCACCTCAACATCTTACTGCAAGCTCCCCCCAGTCCTCCCAAGCCTTGTGTCCCTCATTTAAAGCCCAGCACTCAGAGCAGCCATCCTGTGCTCTCAGGGTGCCCCCTCCAGTTCCCCTAGCTGACCCCTCTGCCAGCGCCCTCCGTAGCCTCCTCACCAGCCTCCAACAGCAGATAGTCAAACAGAGGAAGGAGTATGAGGAAAGGATAATCAGGTAATGTTCATTCTGTTCTGTCAAGCATTTCCATTTCAATCCGTACAGTTTACATCACAGTGTGTGTAAACCTTGTAGAAAAGAAATGAAATGTCTAAATTCACTGTGCTTCTGCTCTTGGCTTGGTGATTACTCGCCTATAACAATTTTCCTACCCTTAGTGTATTTCAAGTGCGGAATGACAGCGTTCCCAGGCTCAGACAGTGTGTGTATGCACTCAGCTGTGCCGTTGTGGTCGCTCAGCTGACCCAGAGTTTCACCCTATATCCTGTTTAGGCCAGAGAGCAACAGCAGCCGATTAACTTCCTTTACAGTTTCCCAAAGGTTTGCTGAAAACATTGGTTGTATTAGGTAACATAAAACAGTTATGTACATTCTGTTTAACCAAAGCTGTGCTTTAGCTTTAATCTACAGTGGAAATGGAAGCATACAGCTAATATTTTACACCAAATACTCATTAAGTGGAGTAACCATATTTGCTGTATGTGTGTTTAAATTTCCTAGTACAGCCTATGTGGTTGACCTATGGAAATAGCTCACACCAATGGAAAGACAGCTAATTTAAGGGGCCATGCTGCTGACCTAGGAACACCATTCCCACAGTCAAATATGGGGGAGGCTTGCTGATGTTTTGGGGGTGTATGTTTGCATCAGGCACTAGAGTGCTGCATAAAGTGAAAGGAAGAATGAATGCAGCCCAATATCTGAAGATTTTAAAGCAAAGTCTCCTACGATTAGTTAAAAAACTAAAAATGAAAAGGCAATGGATTTTTCAACTAGACAATGATCCAAAGCACAGAGCTAAATCAACTCAGGAATGTGGTGAATGTTTTACCATGATCATTCCCAATCTCCAGACTTAAACATAACTGAAAACCAGCGGGTCGATTTGATAAAGGCTGCATAGGATAGGAAGGAAAGAGCTATGCAGCTAGTTCAATTTACATAAACACAATTTCACAGGCTTCCTCCTCTGTCCCTTGCTCCTCATTCCTTTAACACCAGCCTAGAGCAGAGGAATGAAGAGCTGCAGTTAAAGGTTGTGCAGCTGAAAACAAACCTCGCCCAGCAGCAACAGTGGTACGAGGTCGTCCAGGCTAAGATTGTGGAATCTGAAAGGAGCCGGGCTGCTGCAGAACTACGCAATGCAATGCTGCAGAGAGAGATGGAACAGTTCTTTGACACCTTCGGGGAGCTCAACGACGAGGCCAAGAAGACAGAACTTATTGTCAAGAGCTTTTGAAAAATATGCAGT